TTCATCATGTCTTCGCCCATACCGGCCACTGCAGGCTGTGGCTCGCCGTCAGGCTCGGGTACCTCAGCGTCCGCTCCTTGCGTTTCGGGGAGTACAGGAGCAACCGGAACAGCCCTTGACGGTGCGGGAAGAGGCAGAGCCGTATCGGGGATTGCTGCATCGGCACGTCTGTGGATGAAGATATCGTCTAAATAGCTGGTGCAAACTCTCGGTAGGAACGTAACCGGTTTAGTTGGACGAGGAGAGAAGTAGCTTGTCAATGAGGATGCAAATTGCAAAGTGAGGATTATGAACTAGCTGTGAATCGAGTCCTAGCTATGACTGCGTCCTGCAGACGCTCTTGAGGTTTCGTGAAGAAGATGTCCGCGTGGGTACTTCAAGGATGCTCAGTTGGATAATGTCAAAGCGTCTTTGATCGCGCTAGACCGAGTGCACCTCTGCATGTGCCACTTGTCCATTCATGTCGACTGAAGTCAACATCAACTACGGATCATCGGAGGACCCCCTTCGTTAGTCGGTGTCCGGGCGCCAGTGGTATCGAGACCTGCGACAACGCGATTTTCGCAGATCCCGCTTCTCCACAATGGTGCGCGTGCCCGGATCTTCTGGTGACTCGGGATTTCACCGTGAGTCCCAAGAAGATGTCAAGGCCAAAGAAGAACACAGGGAAGAAGTGCCTACAAATGCTGGATCGACGGAGGCATCGCTTAATACAGCAAGATCCACAGATCAGCGGAGTATGGAGAGGATCTCTGCTGACAGACACGAGACGGACCTGGATCAAGACCCAGATCTTGAAGAAAAGCCTCGAATTCCTCTTAAGACCGCCGCGGCGGTCACCACGGATCTCGATGAGAACCTAGATCCGTACACAACGGACAAGGACACGACTAAGTCGAAGCCCAATCTGTCCACCAAGTCGGTGGCCTCGACAAGATCGTTCAAGAAAAAGAAGATCAAGGCCGCTCGGACGAAGCTGAAGGCGCCAGATGCGGAATCGGAAGACGTGCATAAGCCGAGATCGACTATCGCCAATGTCATGATCGAGCAGGCTTACTATCGAAAGATCCTGAGCGAGACACTGCTACATGACCCTGTCCTCGCGATCATGCAGGTCCGCCAGATCGGCGATCTGACAGGCCCGATATCCAAACCCAGCACCAGCTCAGATAGGCTGAATGCAGTGAAGATTCTGCTGGATCTTCTCCAGGAGGCCGGACTAGTAGCGGGAGAATTCGATCCGGATTCCCTGTTCGAGATGGAACTGGGGGTGATCCAGGCGGCGACTCAAGATCTCTACGGATCGCTCAAGATCTTGGTCGGCAAACGCCCAAACTCCAGATCTGAACTACCAGACCGGGTCGTCACATTACCTCGGAACCAGATTCAGATTCTCCCCGGTCTCCGCAACGTATGTCGCTAGGACCCTCGGGCGCCAAGTATCTGAGATCACGCGTGAACAGGCCGGATCAACGGCCGGCGGGACCAAGTCGAACCCCGGAGAAGCCCGATCGGCAGGAAGAACGCCAGATCCCAGCAGGACGAGCCACTCCGACGACCAATTCGACCGGACCTAGCAACAGGCTGGACGAATATATCCAGATGGCGATTAATCGAAGAACAAAGTCTGGTGACGGTGCGACCTCCACCCCTCGGGACGCAGGATATCGACATGGAGTCAGTCGGCACCCCGGATCCCCACTCTTGGGAGTACGATCCCGACGATCTCGGGATTCCAAGCTCATCCGGTCATACTTCCGGCCGAGCCGCAGTCACCTCGGCAGCGATTGGCTCTGGAGGGTCATCGCTGATCCAGAGGGTGCGAATTTCGGCCATCTCGGATCTGAAAGAATTTACCGGGAAGGATATGGACGAAGATCGCGCCAGGGTTTGGATCGGCAAGGCTCGAGCGAGATCAAGCCACAGAAGAGGAGAAATGCCTCCCGTTCGCGGATCTGATGGTGGTACCAGCCAAGAACTGGCACCGACAGTTAAGTCGGACTACCAAGACCAAATGGGGGATTTACTGGAAAGTTTCCAGACACAATACGGCGGTCTAGGTATGTCAGTGGCATGGCAATATTACCATACCCGAAAAAGATCCGAGGAGACCCCGCTTGATTATCTTTATCGACTGAACGTGGCTGCTCTACGAGCTAAACTCAAGATCAAGGACGGAACCCCAAAGGCGCTTCGGGAACACGTCGATCATTATATCGAGACGTTGGGCGATCCCGAGTTGGCAGACCGCCTAACACTATTACGATTGGCTGACGTCGACGAACTTGAGGAAGTTCTCCGTGCGCGGGAACGAGCCAAGAGCAGGCAACGCAGATTCGCGTTCGGGTCGAAATTTCGACAGAAGGCCCCGGCCAGCGCTCCGGCAGCACCAACCCGTGCCATGGTTCGCGCGATCCAGGCGCAGGATCCGAGTTCCAAGTCAGAAGGGGTCTCGGGATCTGACGGATCCGACTCGGAAGGTGAACTGTGAAGGATCTTCCTCGCAGCGGCAGAAGAGAAGTTGATCAGTGCTGGGGGCGCGGCGCAGAACCAGGATCCTGTGCGATCCCGAACGAAAGCGTCTGAGGGAGGCCGGATCCCCGATCGTCGCAGCCCAGGAGACAGAGATCACCAAGATCGAGACCGCTGTTCGCACTGTGGGTCCAGGAAACACGCGGATCTGGACTGTTGGAAGCGTCTGACATGTGAAAAATGTGGGAAGTGAGGTCATCCAACGGATCGCTGTCTGTATGCGTGTCGCGGATGTGGGGACGTCCATGAGGCAGGAGAATGCCCTATGGTAGAATTCTACAACCAGATCCGCAAATGGTATGATCCGAGATATGCCGGGCGGTTCCCCGAACAAGTTGAGAAGATGTTAAGCTAGGACGCTCGCCGGGGTAAAATCCGGTACGAGCCGAGCGTTCTAGATATTGCATCTACGCCTACGTGAACAAGGCGACGACAGATCGAGGTAGGAAGGATTCGGATCTACGCGGTAATACATGTAATTTGCATTCGTACACCGCCAAGATCGCGAGCCTCCCGCAGATCAGCGAATTTAGCAGATATAACACGGAAGTGGCCTTAGATCTCGAACGAGGAGAGTCCCGGGGATATTGGAAACGTCATGCACCGGGAAAATGGTTTCGACAAGCCAAGATCTCGGGCAGGATCAAGCAAGAGAGAGAGCGATCCTGCTTCTGGATACTGGTGCTGAGGTATCAATCTTGGATATCGTAAGGTGGGATGCAATTTTGACACTAGTCAGAGACAGGAATGTGTGGGAATCGGTGATAACGTATATACTACGGAGGGAAGAACCAGGATCAAGATCACTTTAGCGGGATATCTGGTGTATTTTTGACATCTGGATCGGAGATCTCTCGGGACAAACGCGATCCTGGGCATGGATTTCGTGATCCCAGCCGGGGTACGAATGGATCTCGCAGATGGATCGATGCGTCTACCTGACGAGGTCGGAATAGCGCTCAATGGTCGTAAGAGAATGTATGGCGAGAAGGTGAGATCAGTGATCCTCAAACGAAATCTACGAATCCCGGTTGGTCGGTCGGAAGAAACAGTGGCGAGGATCAAATTGTCGGCCACAGAGAAACTGTGGGTGACCAGAGGAGAACGATGGGTACCGACATTGACGGAAGGCCCCGGTCGGATCCGTTACCTGGTGATCTCGAACATTGGAGTAGAGATCCTACGGCTGGACCACCGTCTGGACGTTGGTATGATACTGGATCAGGACAAAGTGCCCCGATCCCCAGGGTTCGTGTCCGTCGGGTCACGTCGATACCGGGAATGGCAGATTCTGGCATTGGAATCGACGGTGGATAGCCTCCAGAACTTATGGAGGACCCTGCGGAGCTGGCAGTACAACGACCATCGTATCCCACGCCACGATCGATACTTCGCCGGGCTGAAACCGCTGATATCGACAGAGATCGAACGTTGATATCGACCCTAGAATCTCGATCAAGGGCGGGAATTGCCAACGTAGTCCAGTTCGAGGCAGAATTTCCCGATCCGGAGGGGTCATCCATTTACGCCACCGGAAAATCCCAACGCCGATCGATACCGGAGGGGCGATGCTGGGGGCGGCAGGATAAGTGAGAGCATGCCGGATCAGGCTACCGATCGGACGGACACCAAGGATATCAAGACGGAAAATTGGACTGGCACCCAGGATATCGAGCTGAAAAGGGGAAATCCGAACTGTCAAACCCAGATCAAACTCGATCTCGGCGAAGGATTCGACGTAAAATCCCCGATCCACCCGACCGAGGGCGTCGAACTACAAGATCCGCTGGCGGAAGGGGCAGCAGCGACCACCCCACAGGATGCAGAGGACGATGATGAGATATATTACCATGAGAGTGGTGATCTCTCAGCTGAAGATCTCGAGGGAAACCTCGCTGTCCTCCCCAAAATCCCGATCTCGACGACCGCGAAGGTCAGCATCGAGGATCTGCAGGTGGGAGACTCCGGATCGGCCACACCCGAGGAAATCGAGAAGCTCCGGCAGATCATTTGGAAGAAGCGACACCTCCTGATCGGCAAAGGGAACGCCTTACCCCCGGCGGCCAAGGGCGTCGTGTGTGACATCGATGTCGGAAATGCGAAACCGATCGCACTGCGAACCAGGAAAGTGCCCACGCGATTTCGCGAAAAAGTCGCAGGCCTGATCAAAGGTCTCCTGGCGAGATCATCCGACCCTCGACATCGCCATGGGCCTCACCGATCGTGATTGTTGACAAGAGTAACAGTGTGGATATCAGGTTGTGCATCGACTACAAACTGGAAACAGCCTCACGAGGCGGATGGTATATCCCATGCCTCTGATCAGCGATCTGTTAGAAGACCTCGATAAGGCGTTATGGTATTGCTCGCTGGATATGGCCAGCGGTTTCTGGGTCGTGCCCATGACAGATCGGGCTCGCGAGATCTCAGCATTTATCACCCCGTTCGGATTATTCGAATAGAGTCGCATGCCTTTTGGTCGAAAAAATGCCCCGCAGATTTATCAACACCTCGTAGACAACGCGCTGTATGGATTTCTGAAAATCTCGCGATCAGGCGACGCCGAGACTACAACGGACGTTTTCCAGACAGGGATCGCGGACGATCCTGATCGTGAGTCAGTGTTGGGAAGAAGATCATACATTGGCGACATCATGATCGCAGCAGAATCGTGGGATCAAATGTGCCAAAGGGTGGAAGATCTGTTGGAGGCTTGTGATAAGTGGAATCTATCGATCAGTGTGGCAAAGAGCTTCTGGGGCATGGACAGGGTTAGGATATCTGAGACACCGAGTGTCGATCGGAGGTTTGGAAGCGAACCTGAAAAACCTGAAATCTTTGACCGATCTGCCGTTCCCCGGATCACTGCGATCCATGCAGTCGTTCCTAGGCAGTCTGAACTACTACAGCCGATTCGTCGAAGACTACGCTATCTACGCTTCGGTGCTCTATGAACTGCGCGAGGTGGAGTTTGCAGAACTGGAGAAACGATCGGATCTGAGGAAGATCATGGACCAGAACGACCCGATTGCTCGAGATCACGGCCCACCGGAATTGCCGTTGGCAGAGCCATTGGATGAAAGGTGGATCAGGGTGCATAGGGCCTTCATCACCCTGAAAACCAAGATCGCGACTACCCCAATTCTCCGCCACTTCGGCGAGATGAGAACGCCGGTAGTTATCGTATATGCCAGTGATTGGGCGATATCCGCTTCGTTGACGCAAGAACACGACGGGATTTACCATCCGGTTGCGTTCGCCAGTCGCACCTTGAAGACGAATGAGTTGAATTACAATGTGACCGAAAAGGAGGTGTTGGCATTGCTGAGGATCTTGGTTCTCTACTACAATTTACTGATGGGACGCGAGATCCGGGTCCTAACGAGGCATTCCATGTTAGCCTGGCTGTTAAAGTCGACGGGGTTACAGGGCCACCTAGGGCAATGGTCAGCCCTCCTGGCCCCGTGGACTCTCGAGATCACGAAGTGCACGAAGGGCGAAGACGAGATACTGGGGGGCGACGCCGCCTGCATCACGCCGTGTTGGGAATCCACGATTGACTATTACTCCGTTCCCTCACTCCAACAATTGTTGACTCCAAGAGCCAACGAGAACGGGATCGAATATATCTCGATAGTCCCTGAGTCGATCCCTTCCTGGCTAGCGTTGACTCAGTTCCAATTGTGATTCGCCACTATAGGTCAACCCAAATATCAGACGTCCTTGGCCACGAGCAGACCAATACATCTTTCCTCACACACTTGAACTCTGCCAGTCCTTCAGTAAGGAAGGTACGTTGACTTTTCAGCTATAGTAGAGCTGTCGGGCACTTGCACCGGCGAGAAGACTCACTTGGATAATACTCCAAGACTGACGGATATTCGCCAGCTATCACTTAGATCAACCACACACAAACGTTCTTGGATTGACCTTGGCGGGTGAACCGGAGTATCAATCTAGTTCACCAACAGACATGTATGCCACGCAAAGCGGCCTGGCTCTCATGGACTTACCTAAAATAAGCCTTAACTTCAGGTAGCAAATTCTGTTCTGTTCTCCGCCAAGAAGCCGGCTGCCAAGATTCAGCCACCCAAGACTCGAGTCATATCTCGTGGATCAAGTGTCGACATCTCTGGGTTGCCGTCACTGATATTGGGCAAACCTGACTTGGTTCAACTGTTCAAACGGTCTACGACGAAGCTTCGTTCATATGTGGCTCCTGTATTTTCTCGTCCTGGAGTCCTGGCGTGTTGGGTCAAATTGGAGGAGGCTTTCTTGCCTCAGGCTGTGCCAGCTGACGCCATCATTAAGTACACTAAAGAACATCTGGCCAAATTCGTGTCGTTTATGGATGTTACTCATCCTTTCCAAGTGCAGCGACAGCTCTGGCCTGACCATGCGTGTTTGTTCAACACGAAGAATTTCGACTTGGACTCACACGTCTCCCAGTGTGCCAGTTATCCTGACCGTTTGCTCGGAATTTGGCGGCGCTTACGGGGGTATGGAGATCGTGATTCAGCTTCGCTTGGAGTGGCTGATTACGAGCGCAAGCATTGGGTTCCCGCCAAAGCTGTCGAGCGAATGTTTGCTATCATGGAAGAAAACATTTCGAAGCAGACAAACTGGAGTAAGCGCGAGCGCAAGCATGCTCTGGCCACACTGGATGAGCTTCGCCGCCAATGGGCTGAATACCATGATGAACGAGCTTCGCGCGCGGACAACTTGCGCCAGTTTATTCTGAATCGTCTTTGGCTGTGGTGTTCTCCTGATAAGGAGTTTTCCCAACCCACACCATGTTGGAGCCGTCTATGCCCATTTACTCTCTGGAAATCATGCCTTAGGTGCCGAAGACTGCTGACTGCTGACTGGTGCGCTGAGGCTTTGGAGCTGGGTCGACAAGAGCCGTGGCGTTGCGTTGGCTCAATTGCCCCGAGAAGCACCCCTATAACACAGTGTTCGCTCCCTGTAACTCAATGGTTCCGCTGTTTCTTCCGAGTGGGTCTACCATGGAGACTGTTGGACCAGCTATTATTCCTGACTCTTCGGTCAATCCTGCAGACATTGACCCTTCCTGGAATATCGCTTTCCGTGGAGATCCTGAGGAAGAAGAAGAAGAAGAAGAGGAAGGGTAAGTTACTGCCGAGGATGAATCTTCGTTGGCATCCGTTCTTCCCTGGATCTCCGGCTCTTTCGTCTGCATCCAACGAAACTATGGATTTGGATAAAGGTTCTGACGCTGATACCCCACTGGATGAAGCTCGCGGCGCTGAGATGCTAGCACAACTTTATCCTGGTGAGACGGTGGAGCTGTAGTTCTCCTGTTTTTGCCAAACTACCCATCTTCCGGTTTTCGTTGATGTTCAAGTTTTGCCGATTAGCTTGTAGTTCTTTCTTAATCACTTTTATTATCAAGTCGCATTTCGCAATTCATGTAATATCCTATTCATACAACGATATTGGCTTGCAGTATTGCGTCTGGACTAGTGAGCTGCACCGCCTCAACGCCAGGTCGTTCATAGTGATTACTTCAACTAGCCCTCATCAGCGACTTGGACCATTTGGAGACGATGTTCGCTCCTTTTATTTCGTAAGTAACCGTACAAGAGACCGCCACAAGAGAGATTCGCTGCTGGTTCCCACGTCGTTTCTTCATAACCAATTCACTTGACTTCAAACTCCCGCGGCCGATCAGTACTTGTCGACATCGGAGTTCGGTCGTTGAGCTTCGCTTCGACTTCAAATTGGCCAGCAACCGTGTCCGGTTCCCAGCTGTCTTCAGTTAGTAGTTCTTCGTCGAAATCCAGTCGCGTATCCTCAGTAATATCTTGCGCTAGTCGAGTCTTAGGTCGATCACAAAACTCATTCACAGCCTTCAGTCGCGACACATGGACCGCTGGGTAAAATCTGTATCCACTCTTGTCTGGCAACTCCAGCTCATAAGCAAACTCTTCCACCTTGCGTTTAATACGGACAGGTCCATGCCACCTATGGGCAAGTTTCTTAACCAATCCTGGTTTGACCCGCTCCATATAAAGCCATACTCTGTTCCCTGGTTGGAACAAAGACTGTGGGGTTGAATTATCGTCACCCGAGTTGTCGGTGTTCCCCTGCGGGCAAGCTGCTTGCACCTTACGGCTGAGATTTTCGTTGTGTTCTCGTGCCCGTCTTGCTTTCTCAGTGGCTTGGTATTCTTTAGCCATTTTGAGCACCACTTGTTGTTGACGGTTAATTTATTGTCTCCAGGCCAATGCCTCTGACTGCTTACCAATACCACGCTTCAGCGAGGTCGTCATAGCACGCAGAGTCGTATGAGCATCCCAGCCGTGCACGAGGTAGAATGGAGTTTCCTTTCTCGTCATATCGTGCGAGTTATTGATAGCAAATACAAGTCGTTCCGCGATTTCGTCCCAATCTTGTTGTAGTGGGTCTTCAACGTAGGCTTTCACTGACTGCATGACTGTCTTCACTGAGCGCTCCTGTTGACCATTTGCTTGTGGACGATAGCTCAATGTAGACCGTGACCTCGCCTGGATCAATTCAGCGAATGCTTGAAACACTTCACTCATGAAGCGAGGGTCACGGTCATGGCGTATCAACGAAGGTGCACCGATTCTTCGGTATATGCATTCTTCGAAGACTTTAGCTACTGTTAACGCGTCCGTATCTGACATTACTTTAGCAATGACAAACCCAGCGAACGAGCACTGCCAGAGTAGTAGGGCTGTATTGCCTCGACGAGACTTCGGCAGCGGAATAGCGAAATCCATTGATACTAGTCGTTCTGCAAGCACGTTACCAGGTGAGTAGCCTTTGAGCTGCGGTGCGCCCTTGCTCGAGCTACAGTCAAGGCACGACTTCACATGTTTTTCAACATCTGCATACAGTCCAATCCAGTAGTAGTCATGTTTTACCCTCTGATACGATCGAACGACTCCTTGATGTCCTCCTTCAATAGAGTCATGACAATTCTGCAGCACTTCTTGGATCATAGTTGTCGGTACTACAAGTCTCAACGACAACTCCGGTTGGTCATCTTCCGACTTACGCCGAGTCGGGCCCACATAGTAGAGTATGTTATCGCTGGATAGAACGAACTTGTCAGACCATTTCCACGCGTCTCGAGCTTCTTTGTAGCTCATTTT